CTTAGCATTTTCCGAGGCTCATTCATATTCTCTGTTCTCAAACCCCGGCATTGTTACTTCCCTTTTGAACTTAGTAGTATTCTTGGATGTTGAATTTTTTACTTTAGACCTTTCATGTTCAAGCACCTGCTTTGAATATTGCCCTTCTTTGTGCCCCCTGGTGATGACTGAGCCCTATTGTTACTGTTTTGAATGCTGTTTCTACATCAATCAGGCACCTTCCTCCATCTTCTCTTGGGATGTATTATTATAATTATTATCATTATTATTCTCAATGTCATTATTACTATCATAGGGAGGTTGAAACCTGGATGAGATAACACACTGAATGGTGGGGAAAGGAATCATCAGCAAGTAAGCAGAAGTGTGAGGGCTTGAGTGGTTTTAATTTTAAGCAATTATAACAGACAACATGTTTAGGGGGAGATTAAAAGTTTGAGATACTTGGGCTACTGTGATTAAGGGGGGTTTGATGGATCATATATAATAAATGAATGTACAGTTGACAAATGCACTTTTGTAACAAACAATGAAAAGCAGTTTATAATGTAAATGAACATAGCATGCATCGTCTGATTGGTCACTTCATTTTCCAAGAGGATGCTTTATCAGTTTATAGAGTCTACATTTGATTGGTGACAGCTATGACAAGATTCCAGTATTTCCATGATGGGGGACAAAGAATTCCACATGTTGATCTCACGTTGGCTTTTGAAGTACTACGACCGAAAAATACAAATTTGCAGAAAACGTAATGGAAAGTGACAAAAGTAGAGGTAGCAGAGAAGATGAAGCAAGCAAAAAAAAGATTTGCCTGGATGGAAGACAAAGAGCTAAATTCACTCGGTGAAAAATGCCCAGGTTGAAAAAAAACCAAAGAAGAGACTAAGTAGACAGCTTCTATACTTACAGTTTGGTTTAAATAAATTTTCCGCTGGTGCTCCAGTTCATTAGTTCTATTGGAATACTTTTACACCATCTCAAGCATGAGATGGTTCTGATTAACCTGCTTCCACTCTTTTAAATTGCCTTGACAATGATCTTAAGCAAATAGCTAGTGTATCTCTTTCTTCTATTATTTTTTCACCTAGACTAAATAGTTTTAAGCATAAACTTTTTATCTTATTCAATAAGTCTGCTAGTAATGTTTCTAATCTAGAGGAATTACTGTTATGATTGTCCTTTTTCTCTTTATTGTAGCTGTATTAGAAGGTAATTGTTTATTTCATATTATATCAATGTTAACTCATACAATTTCTAGTTTTAGTTTCTCTTGCTGTGAGTCGTTTTGCTATTTAGTCATTATTTTATATATGTATTTGTACCTGCTGTGAAGGCTGTAAGTTAGATAACTCATTGGGTTAATTGTCACCTTTGATAAATAAAGAATATTGTATTGTATTGTAATAATTAATCCCTTGTACATATATAATGTTCAAGTGTTAGATTTTCACTCAGCAATCCAGCAGTTTGATACCTCAACACATACGTATGTGAATATTTGGTTTTTCAGTGAATTCAGAGCAAGGATCAGGCACATTTTCCCTTAATCTGCCCTAATGGGGCATCAAGTGGCCAAAGCCAAGGAGAATTTGTTTTGTTTGTTTTTTCATTATTCAAGGATTACCCACCAAACCAACTAGAAAATGAGATGATGGAGATTGAGAAAGAGTAGGTTTGACATGGAGGTAGCTCAACTCAGGTTTAAAGGAAACCAGAAACATTATGAGCTGAACACAGCAGTAGATTCTTCACTAGAAAACATTGATGGCAAGATCCAACTGTGCCTGCTGAATCCACAACATATCCTAAAGCTTGCACAAGATACTAAAAAGAAAATTCAGAGGAGGCAAAAACTCATAGAGATCTATGGAAAAAGTAAGCAAGAGTGGCAGGTAGTGGAGGAAGAAATATTTTTCAAGTGCTGATAATCAGCTTTTTGCTGTCAGATCTGTGCAAGTTGCCTGATATCTTTATTTACTTTGTGATTACTAATAAGTTATCTGAATTCACTAAAACCATGGCCCAAAATATTTTTCTCACCTTACCCACAAAATTTTCAAATTTTTCACAACTTTGCCAGTTCCTGTTCATAAGTCCAGCCAAGCCTTTAAGGTCACTGGCCCCCATACAGTTGCTAAATATGCCTTATAAATACAGGAATTTAGTTTTAACTGGTAAAACTCCCTGAAGAAATCTACAACAGTTAGATGAAACATGTCAGAGAGTAAAGAAGTTTTACAACCACTGTTCGCTAATTGCTGCTCACTAATTCAGTTTTAAAAAGTTGTTCAAGTCAATACTAGAAGAAGCCATAAGGTGAATGAACCACCAATCTTCAGCCCTGTTAGATTTAGAGACACGTCCAGTTCTCCCAGACTCAACTCCACAATTGAAACTATCCTAGGAGGACAGTTCGAATGCAAGCAGATGCCAAGAAAGCCTACTCTTCTCTCAAAGCCAGGATCAAACTGCTAGAGGCCCACAAGGGCCAAGGTACTACTCCATCTGGTCTTAGGATCAAAATAATCCAAGCCAAAAGTCAAGATGTTGATACATTTCAGGCCAAATTTAACAATGTTGTTTGGAAGGCAGAAATTAAATTGTTGAAAGCTGCATGTGACTATCTCCACTCTGAAGTGAAAGACCACCAAAAAGCTGTCCACACCACCTCTGCCAATAATGAGGGCACAATTGGGTGATGGAAGTGCGAGCTCTGGAAAAATTACATTTTGGAAGATCACGCCAGTAGCCTCTGTGTTGCCCTTTTAACCTTCTCGGAAGATGTTTCTCAAGAAAGTGCAGTCTTTAGAGCTTCTAAAGCTCTTCAGGAGGAGATTAACAGCAAGGAAAAGTGTAAAGTCTCATTAACGTGGATGTTAGGGATGATTTTCTGTCTTTGGAAACCTTGATCCAAGATAGCACTCGGAGTGAATTCTGTCTTTCCTCTGGCACAGCACACCAAGTTGACACAATTCTACAATGAAAACTTTCTTTTGTCCAATTCAGTCCTCGTGGAAAGCAGAATGACAAACCTGGTGCCAAGCACAATGGTTAGCTGAATACTAAGTGCAACAGTAACAAGCACCAGAGTCGACCTGAGCACTGAAAGGCTATCCAACACCAAAGGTCAAGGTCAAGCTCTAGGAAACTTCTTCCTTTAAGTCTTTCTCTGAGACTAGAACAACTACTGCTGCTGTGTTGCAATATACATTACAACGACAAGAAGAAATGGTTCTCCACACCACTAAATCATAGATCTTCGCCAGGATGGATTATGGTCTTTAAGACTTCATTCAACAGCAGTCATACCCATATTAAGAATGTTATCAATACAGTGGAACCCCTCTAAACCAGACCCTCATTAAGCCAGAATCCTCTCTGTGCCGGACCTTTTTTTCAGCCACAAAATCTCTGTCATACATTTTCTCTATTTTAACCTCAGTAAACCAGAACCCCTCAAATCTGGAAACCAAACACTTTTTTCAGTCCGTAATCACTTACCGACCAAGAAATTGACCTTGTTAAAGCAGAAAGTTTGAAAGTTTTAAGCTTGCTGCCAAAATTAAATCAAACGTTTTTAAACATTATTAATATTAAAGTTGTTATCATGTAGCTGTGAAATCCCAATCAGAAGTGACAAATGGCTAATTACTCATTGTTCTATTGGTACTGAAACAAAAAATCAAGCCCCTGTATAGCTGCTAATTATGAGTTACAAATACGGGCATTTAGTTTTAACCAGTAAAACTCCCTGAAAAAGTCTATGACAGATGAGATGCATCAGAGAATAAAGAATTTTTACAACTACTGTTTGCTGAGTGCTTCTCACTAGCTCAGTTTTACAAAAAATGAATGACCTTAAGGTCCCAGGCTTTCAGACATGGAAATACATGGATGACACCAATGTAGGCAAGGTCATTCCGCAAGGGCAGCTGGGTAACATCCGGAGTGCTGTTCATGCTGTTCAGAACTGGTTGTGTGACCACAAGATGACCTTGAATGCCTACAAGTGTAAGGTCAGAAACATTGACTTTGAGAAGAACAGGCACGCATTCCAGCCTGTCATCTTTGATGGTAAGGAACTCTCTGTTGTTAACTCTGCTATGATTTTAGGAGTGACTTTGGATGAGAAAATTAGCAAACAATTATCTAGTGTAAGTATGCATACATTATTCTATCAATTCTTAGCTTAGTAGTTTTATCAATTCTCTTCAAAATAACCTGTACTATAGTAATTTTATACATTTTCTGTATTTATTGCAAAATATAACGCAATTCAGCCTTTGGCTGCAGTATGATATTCAATAAATCTATCTATCTATCCAGCTATCTATCATTTTCTGTTACTTTAATCTAGAGTGCCCTTAAAAAGCTATATCAAGCTTATACATTGACACCAAAACAAATTTACTAATTTACCTATAATTTTTTGATAAAGCTATTATCAATATTATCATTAATATTATTAATCATTGCAGTCTGTAGAATGCATCTCCATAAATATCTAGACCAGTTGTTGTGGGGTCTTATTTTTGTAATAAAAAAAATAAAGATCTTTTTAAACTATATTTTTAATAAATAGATCACTAAACTTGAAGCGACTATTGTGAAGACTGAATGGTATTATTCCAAAAATTGTGAAGATGGGCATTGAAAAATATGAAAAAAGTCGTCAAAACCAACTAAGGAGCATGCATGTGTTGCATGAAGGGGGGTTGTTAAGCAAGCAGAAGTATACTAACTCTAGAAACAGCAGTGATGTAACAAAACATGTTCCAGATAAGTTATGTAGAAATGACAAGACACTTTTTATGGAAGGCTGTGAAATTTCTAAGATTCTCCCATACATAACCCTTATAGTTATATAAGAAACAATGACCTTGGTGTAGTTTTAACTATGGAGTTGTTGACCATCAAGCTTTCTGCAGAATCAGTTTCAGGAGTATACAGGCCCCTGAGGCCTTTCCTTTTTCTTTTTTTCCTGAACACCTCTGTATTCACAAAAAAAGCCTCTGCCTCCAGTGGTTTGAATGGGGAAGAAAGAGTACTGCATGTGGCAGTGGAGGCAGATTGTGTGCCATTTGGCGAGGGTGACACACAGCATTTGTTTTGTTTTGAAAATTCTTGCTGAAGTCCTGTACTGAGACAATCTTTGAACAGACAACACCGTCTCTTCTATTCTCTTCAATAGCAACATAGTGATACTCCCCGTTAAGTCTCTTAGGATCAACATCTGCAAGAGGTCTGGTTGGCACTTGATCAGGTCTACCATGAAAGTATTTGCCCTTTAACAGGTGTTGCACAACAGTTAGTCTGTAGCAAAGAAACTCAACTAGGTCCGGCTTTACTTTCTTGTAAATAACATAAGAATTCAGTAAACAAACTTCCAATCCATAGTAAAAGAGTTTTTTTCCAAACTATGCAAGATCTGTTCAGCAAGGTTTACCCCAACCATGAACTCTTGATGAGCACTTTGTGCCGGTGGGCAGGGTATGGCTTCACACCCCCCAGCAGCATTATGTCACTCAACCACAGCCGGTTCACCATTGCTCTCTGAAGTATGGATGGTGAAGACTAAGTAGACAGTCATGCTTATCATGCCATGGCAACCAACATGATTCCTCCATGCATAGTCTCCATGATTCATCCTCCTTTCCATGGCACTGGTGAGTACAATATTGTTAAAGAAACCCTTCCAATCCGTCCTAATTGTTCCACATGCCAGAATCTTCTTTTGCTCCAGCTCTATGAAGTGGAGGTTGTCCATGTAGAGGTGGTGGTGCTTATTTTTAATTAACAACAACAACTTCCTCACCACCCTTCAAGCTAAATTGTGCTCCACATTCCCCTCTTCTTTGCCAAGATAAATGTCAAAGTTACAAACATAGCCTCTTTTCGCCTCACAAAGGACCCACACCTTTATTCCCCAACAAATGGGCTTGTTTTTGATGTATTCTTTGTAGGAGCCTCCCTTTGTGCGGCACCATGGTCTCATTGATGGTAAAAAAATGAAATTGAGGGATTCTATCACTCGATGGATTTTATCAAATCCCGGGCTCCCTTTTGGTACTGCTCTGCTATTTTCAGCAAGATGAAAATATCTCCAGATTTGCAGAAAGCTAGTCTGTGACATTACAGAACTTACACTTTGTTAGTGAAGAAGAGTATCATTGCTCCATTACATCTTTATTCCTGGCAGGTTGACTATTCCCTTATAAATGATGACAATAAGGTTCCACATGTCATCTGTAAACATGGCACTGAAAAAATGTTCCTTCTCTACAATCATTTGGATACCTCTGCATGGGACCCCGTGATGGCTTGCCAAATGGCCTCTCTGGATATGGAACATAATTTGTAGACCATAAAATCGTAGGATCTTGAGGACGTTCTCTCTGGACTGCCAAGACATGAAAGGAAAAAATCAGCAATTTTTGGAACATGTTAATTTCAAGACAGCTAGAGAAATAAAAAATATCATGAGAAACACCGTGCATGTTGGTGCGCATGAGTACAAATAAATAAAATTTCAAGTTATTTTTATTAGTCTGGAAATCCAAGAAGAGGAATAGATAGATAGCTTTAATAAAAATCACATGGCAGCCCAATAAGGCTGAATTCCATGATTATTTACAATACAAAACTGGCTAAAATTGTAAATCATATTTACAAGGCATATTATTTACAAGAATAATACGAGAATAATGCACAGACCTATTGTCTACACATAGTTGGTAAATATGTCTGGGAGAAAATTAAAATTATAGAGGGCACATTTTTGAACACCTTCTATGTCATTGCTGAAATAAAGGCTTGGTTTTAGCTGTTACTGACAAAGCATAGATTTTACTGAGTTTCACTTTTGTTACCTACTGTTCTCAATCTCATCACTTTCTATTCAGTAGTATAGCGCGTCTGACTAGCAATTCCCGCGCGGCCTGGGTCCGAGTTTGAGTAATAATTTATTCATGCCATGTAGGTACACGTGTTAGGGTTATTAGATAATTATATTCATGACGTGTAGGTACACGAGGGTAAAAATAGATTATTAATGAGCGAGTGTCCATGTCAGCCATCTTTGTTATTAAATACAAGGGTAGGTTTGATTTATATATGGAACGGTAGCGTAAAAATCATCCATGTGGGATACCTATTTGTGTGATGCGCATGTGCAATCTTCTGATTAAAATTGTACGCATGCGCAATGCTTTAGAGCCAGTCCCTATGTGGTATGAATGTCACGAAATGTCCTATGGCTGGTACTTATGTGGTGTAAGACGTCACAAAATGTTGCGTGTGACGTCATCTGCCCAGACTTGCCCACCCAAGCTAAATCTCAAGAGAGATGTTGTCTAAACTTGTCTAGGACTTGCTCAAGAGTTGTCTAGTATTGCTTAAGGCTGTCCGAATCTCTAGGGGTTAGGATTTGTTATTTAAAGTGAAGTCGTAAGTAGAAGGAGTCATAAACATGCCTGTTTTTCAATATCCCTACGATTTTACGTGTACATGCAAAACATGTAAATCGTGTATCAAATATAAAGAAATTATGGAAGAAGCGGCATGGAATGTCAAGATTAGGAACATAAGAAAAGCGTATGTAGAGAAACGTGTGGAAGAGATTACAAAAGATTACGAAATTTAAGTCTAAAAGATTCAGCCCAAACTTGCCCAATCTCCCAAGAGGGACCTGTCAATCAAGATCATATATTTTCCTTATAAAAGTGGAGTCGTTGTAGCAGTCAAATCACATTTCTTACTTCCAGAGTGTAAAGCAAGCATCAAGAAAGCAAGATGGAAGATAACAAGACTAAGAAGACATCAAAGAGGGTTCACCCTTATGCCAAGAAAGAGACTTTGAAGAATAAGAAAGAATGGGCTAAGAACAAGTTGAAAGGTAGTCTCGTTATAGATGCACTGCCTATGAAGAACCCAGACTTTGTTGCTAAAGATGTGAAACTACCCAAGTTCGAGGTGGATTATATGAAACCAGAAGTCAAGTCATCTAAGCAAACATCTCCTCTGAAAGAGTTGAACCAGCTGGTGGAAAGTGTTCAGAATGACCCATCAACCCTGGAGAAGACTGAAGTATTGGAAGAAAGAGAAATCGTACCTGGCGTAGAAGGTACAGGTACGTTTCATTATTCTTCTCTGGAAGAATTGTTGGACGGTGTGGAAGTCAGTTATCCATGTCCCATCCACCAGACTATGATGGAGGAATTAAAATCTAAAAAAGAAGATTGTGACGATGTATTCCTCCGTTGCTCGTCCGCCCGTTGCCCAGTATTTTGTAATCTCAGTGATTACAACCGTTATTACTATGAATGTCAAAGACAGGGTCACCCCTGGTTCACCCTGGACAGAATCGACAAGATGGTGTGCGAATGTGGAATGACTCCCACATTGTCTTTGACTCAATCAGAAACAAATTATGGCAAAATGTATTTGCGATGCAGTCGACATAACTGTGATCTTTTTACCTGGTGGCGATTTAAACCCAACAAGAGGTCAGTGCAAATTCTTACGGATGGATGTGAATGATTCATTTCAGGACTAGATGTCAAGATGACATTTGCTAATTTATTAGAAGCCCTTTTTCCTTTACTTCAAAGAAAGTAATAAGAGTCAAATGTATTAATTTTTTAGGCATAGTGTTCATTCAAACTTTTCTTTCACCAGATGTAAAAATACACATGTTTTTTAGTTGTAATTCCAAGTTTTGTTAATTTTTTTTGTAGATGGGAAAAGTACAGACCATCTTGAAATCGCACGGTTGATGGGTAGAAACACAAAGCTAGATACATTGTCTATGGACGATCATGTTGAAATCGCTTGGTTGATCGGTATGCCTAAGTTTAGAAAATTAGCTAGATGCTTAGGATTGTCGGATAAAGACTTAGAATGTATTGCTTGTGATGTACAGTTTTTAGAAGATAATATGGATAAATAAATAAAAGTTGTATCACCAAAAACACTGTGTCATTTGTCTGTGTCAATCATGAGGCGTGTAAGACGGTCACTGATTAAAAGAAGAAAACGCAATCAACGTGGGGGTGCTTCTGTGAGTAGGGTTAAGAAAATTCTTCGTAGAGGTCCCTCTCTTACCGATAAATTAGCTTACGCAGCAAGTATGTTGTTATCGGGTCCTGCACCAGGTTTTGGAACACTTGGTAAACTTCTGGGAAAACAGGCTTTAAAAGGCATTATGGATAATGTCAAGCATTATAAAAAGGGTCGGCAATGAAAAAAAATCACCAGTTCATCATGCTTACCTCGTGGAGTCAATGGCTATGCTACTTGCATTATCGATTGGTGTCGTGGCTTTGTGATCGCATCCCACATATCGTCTTCGAAGAGGATGAGCCGCATAAAATCCCTTACCAATGGGTTCCCGAAGACATGGAAGTTGAGGTGTTTAAATTTGTCGTGAAACCACACCTACATCCACTATACGACCGTATCTTTCATTTGATGACGTTTATGAGATACTATGATGGGAAGTATACATATAAGACGTGGAATCAATTGCATACGCAGCACCTCCATAAGTATTGGGTCACCTACCATTGTTTCAAACTTTGGTGTCATTTATCATGGTTAAGAACATTAAGAAAGATGTCAAGGACGACTTGTATGACGAACCCGGTGTCGTCGGTAGTTTGGGTGGTGTGGCACCGTATGCCAAAGCTCAAAAGATCTCTATTGCTCAAGGTAAAAAAGAATTAGAGAAAAAATTGGCGTACACGCTTCACAAACCCAGACGTCGATGAGGAGAATTTTTACCTGTGGTGGTGTTCGACATTGATCAACAATGGGTAGCAGATTTGATCGAAGCACAGACCCTATCCAAACAGAACAAGGGATACCGATACGTATTGGTCGTGATCAATGCCTTTTCCAAATACGCGTGGGCCCGGCCGATTAAAAAGAAAACAGGAAAAGATGTGACGGATGCGTTTGCAAAAATACTCAAGGAAGCCAAAGGAAGGAAACCTCAGACGTTACAGACAGATGCAGGCAAAGAATTTTACAATCAGACCTTTCAATCATTGATGAAAACACAGGAGATTCATCACTTTTCTACTCATGGAGATGCCAAAGCCAGTATCGTCGAACGATTTAATAGAACCCTTAAATCGAAATTGTATCGCTATTTCACGGCTGCCAACACACTCAAATATGTAGACGTATTGCCCAAACTTGTCAATCAATAAAATCGCACCTATCACAGGAGTATTAAAACCACACCAGCTAAAGTCACCACAATCAATGCCACAGAAGTGTGGAACAATTTGTATGGGAAATATCAGACTAAGAAAGAAAAAAAGCCTGCATTTAAAGTAGGCGATAAAGTCCGATTGAATAAAAAATTTAGACCGTTTAAGAAAGGGTATCTACCAGGATGGACGGAAGAAGTGTTTCAAGTTCGTAAAGTCGTACCCGGAATGGTAACGACCTATAAAGTGCAAGAATTGGATGACACGCCCTTACAAGGCACATTTTATGTGTGGGATTTGCAAAAAGTACATGTAGATGAAGCGACTTATTTTCGAGTGGAAAAAGTATTAAAGAGACAAAAGGATAAATTGTTTGTCAAGTGGAAAGGGTACCCTAGCAAATATAACAGTTGGATTAATAAAAAAGATTTAAAGTGAATTGTGTGTTTGTGGTGATCGCATCATGAGAGGAGGAAGTTTGAGACGCTTTAAAGTGTATGTGCCAAATGAACAAGGAGGTGGTGGTCTCATGCGCTGGCAGACCCCCTCACCTTATGCCCCACCACCTTTTATCGGATCCTGGGGTGATCCTCAAATAGGTGCCAGAGTCAAAGACATGGCTAAAGATTTTTTGAAAGGTGTAACAGGAGGCCTTAAAAGCAGTGTCAAAAAGCGTTCGTTATCAGAAGTGCCGCGAGGTATAAAGAGAGGGGCTTCCCAAGCGCTCAAGAACGAATTGAAGAGAAAAGTTGCCAAGAGGTTGAACGATATTTTTGGAGAATAAAACATGGTCCGCATCAGCACCGTACGTCAAAGTGATCCTATCATTGGTGTAGGCACAACATCACCGACAGATCCTGTGTCTTCCATCTTAAAAAGGTATAAAGGGAGAAGAAGAAAACAACAGCAACGAGGAGGATTTCTCACAAGTCGTATAAAGAAAATAGGAACACGACAACGTGTGCACAAACGCAGAAGACGTTGAAACAGACACATCACCATGTCTATCAAAGGGGCAGAGCAGAATTCAAGTCTAGATCTCTTTAGAATACCACCTACAGATCTTTCTACGGTAAAGTACCGATATGTCAAAATACCACCTCAGACATCTAGTATTACTCCTATCCAAGTGTACGTGGAACGACAATCAGATCTCATCGATCTTTCGAGAAGTTTTGTCCAACTGGATTTGGGTTTCAAAACCACAGAAAATGCCAGTCTCACAGCACACGCAAACAATGTGGGTGTGATGACTTCACCAGCCAACAATATTGCACACACCCTCTTCAAGCAAATCAATTTCAGAGCCAATGGTACCTTACTCACCGAACAAGTAGACATGTACCATCTTAAAGCTTTCATACAGACGATCCTTAATTATGACAGGAATGATGGAGAGACGATACTCGAACCAGCTGGATGGCGGAACGAAATTGATTCTCCTGTAACCTACACCGCTGCAAATGTCAAGATGGATGATGACGCGTATACAGCTCTTTCCATAAATCATCAAGAAAGCATCAAGAGACAGAGAGCAGTTGCAACAGAATACTATGCAGGAGGAAAGAGGAGAATCTTGAGAATGAAACCGTTTATAGACGCATTTCACCAAGGAAAATGGATCGTCCCCAAAACTCTTTTGGAATTGGAATTTTATCTGAATCCAGCAGCTTTATTCATGAATGGAGAAGCCAATCCACCCAGTGAGGAAGTCCGAGTCAACCCAGAGGATATTAAACTTACCTTCTTTCTATGTCTGGTGTCCCTAAATCCAGCCGTCTACATGAGCATGATGAGTATGATGACCAAAACCCCAACCAAGTATCCCATGATCCGTACCGAGATGAGACAGTTTCCCTTAGACAATGGGGCTACTTCTAAAGAAATCAACAACCCATTCAATGGAAAGGTGCCCCAAAGAGTCATCATTGGTATTCTGAAAACTACTGCATTCAATGGTCAATACAACGAAGACCCCTTGGCCTTTGGAAAATTTGGGGTGGAATACATCAAACAAATTGTGAATGGAGAAGAATACCCATACGAGACTTTGGAACTCAACACGGCTAATGGTCAAAAAAAGACTTGGTGGGTTATCACCGATTTCTGGATGCTACTGGCTGTCTGTACAGAAATGCAGGAAACATGGTGCGATTCAAAGACTGGGGTCATGGAAAAAATTGCACGCTGTTTGCGTTTTCCAATGTGGCCAATGGAAGACACGATGACCCGGTTCTTCTACCTAAAAATGAAGGCTTCATCAACATTCACATTAAATTTGCAGGGCAAGCAAGTCAGAAAATGGTGATCGTTTATGCTGAATATGAAAGCATTATGGAAATTGATGGCATTAAAGGAGCTACCACGATGGAAGTGCATTAGTGATGGAGTTTGTGTGGCTTACTACGAATCAACTCAACGCTTTAGCGGATAGCGATCCAGAACTCCGCAAGTACTTTGTGAGTGCTTTAGCCTGTGACGAACTACCCGAGTCGCCTGAACGTGTGAAACCGAGAGCTTACATTGTCAATACCCACCCTGCAAACAAACCTGGGGAACACTGGATAGCTGTGTGGACCGAACACGATAGCTGTGAAATTTTAGATAGTTATGGTTTAGATTTAACCACCAATGAATTTCTGACACCATTCATTGTATGGTTAAACCGATGGCCTTACGTGCGTAAAAATACTCGAGCATTACAATCTGTAAAAACCGCAAGTTGTGGAAACTATGCCATCATTTATTTAATGTGTAAAGCAAGACGCAAGAGTATGGATGAGTTTTTTTCCATGTTTTCTAAAAAGGATTATGTAGGCAACGATGATAAAGTAGGCGACATGTTAGAAGACATCATTCAATCGTTAATAAAATAAAAGGAATGAAATAAAATCGTGTCACTTTTGTGTAACTCGCTTTTAGCAATCATGTTCAAGTGCATGGAACCAGGATTTTCGTTCAAATCCCCTTCCAATATTTTGATTGTGGGCCCTACAAGTTGTGGAAAAACCACCTTTCTCCATCACCTACTTTTGGAAAATTTAGACCTCTTTGACGAAAGACCGCCCCGCGTGCATTACTGTAATGGATCCTGGCAAAATAAGTTTGACGACATGCAACGCCATGGCATAGAATTTTTTAAAGGAGTGCCTACCCACGACGATTTAACAACATGGTTTGGAGATAAACGAGGGGGTATTCTTGTCTTGGATGATCTCATGTCGGAGGGAGGAGATGACAGAGAAATACTTAATCTTTTCACACAATATTCTCACCCCATGAATGTCACCGTGTGTTATCTCTGCCAAGACATGTTCCCTCAAGGAAAATATGCCAAGACCATCTCTAGGAATGCGCAATACATTATTGCCTTTAAAAATCCTAGAGATAAAGTGGCGTTGCGCACCTTACTGCTACAGATATACCCGACCAAGTGGCTACCTGTTATGGATATATATAATGCATGTACGGACAGACCCTATGGTTATTTGTTATTTGACGTACACCCTGCAAGTAAAGATTCTACGAGACTTTTAAGTCACATGTTACGACACGAAGGGTGTGTACGCTGTTACAGAGAGAAATAAATAAGAAAGATGCCTGGTTATAAGCGCAGTATGCCCACAACCCGAAGGAGAAGAAGAGTGAAAAGAAGACTAACCAAAAGAGGACAAAAAGGAGGTATCCTACCATTAGCGGCACTCATTCCAGCCCTCATTGCTGGAGGTAAAGCATTGGGTTTAAGTGCCCTTGGAGGAGCTGCATCGTTTGGGGGTAACAAAAGGCCTAGAAGCTCTTACAAAGAAAAAGCGATGATTAATAGTTTCAAGAGAAATGTGGATTTTTTAAAATCTATTTTACAAGAGAAAAATAGAAAGCGTCGTATGGAAAAATTACTTCACGCTAGTAAAGATCAAATCAATGCCGTCAGTGAATTCACGTTGAACATGTTGAAGAAAAAGATACCTTTATCACCGCCTACCGTTGCCAAACTCAAGAAATATAGAGTGATGTTGAGAGAGTTGGGTAAACGGAGGAACTCTTTAAGAAGGCGGCGTCAATTACTTGTGAATCAAACAGGCGGTAGCTTTTGGAGTGGTATGAACAACGCATTCTGTCAGTGTTTCAAGAGATCATGACTGTCACCTTGCAAGAGGGTATAAACGAAGTGGACACGGGTATAAAGTTTGATTTGCAATTCAACTACGACGACGACGACAGTGACTATAAGGATTCAACCGAGTGTAGACTCACAATAACTCAACTGTTTCGGTGGTTGCGTATGCGTGTGGTGGAACCCTTGTGGCGATTATGGAGACGTTCTTAACGGTGAAACCCGATGAGTTTTGAGCTTTGGTAGATTATTACAAGGGAAAAATTACTGAAAGTACTCTTCTGGACAAAGCCGCACGCGTAGCCGCCGAAGCAAAACTGTTATTAGAAGATACATCTACTCCTGCTGCTTTAAAAGAACCTGTGGTAAAAGAATTGTTAATGCAAGAACGCAAGCTTACTGACAAATTGAGACAGATTCCTATCGCCGGTGGTGTAGAACCTCCACCTCGAGACGATGATGGTAATCTCATGGAGGGGTTGCAAGAGGGATTGTTAAAAGAACTCATTAAATCCATAAATATGAGGGGACAAGCCGCCGTACCTCAGATGACACTCAAGAGGGAACCTGTCACACCTGTGGGGATCAAGAATGAACACGTCACCCCTGCGAAACCGGGAACGTCCAAGATTCCTTTTCTCACAGCTCCATCCCAAAAGATACAAAAAACGAAACGAAAACTTCCTGTTCCCACACCGCAAAAGCATCGCACGGAGTTGGAACGACTCAAAGAATTTGGTAACTGGGAACCTTGGGAAAAGAGAGGTTACGACCCGTATCAAGTGTTTGAAGATGACGAAACGCCAAAGTCGAAGAAAGGCAAAGGGAGGGGCAAGAACCGTCCAAGCTAAGGCTAAAAGGAAACGACAGAGAGGAGGAAAATTTGATATTCAGAAATGGATTTCAAAGTTAGGTGTCGAGTTTCATTGGCCCGGATACCAGTATATGGGTCCAGGTACAAAATTAGCCAAGCGATTAAAACGTGGTGATCCAGGAATTAATCATCTTGATAGATTAGCCAAACAGCACGATATTGATTACAGTAAAGCTAAATCACTCGCTGACAAACATATTGCAGATCGTAAGATGGTAGCTGGAATCGATAAGTTTCCAGGCAAGAAGAGTTTAACCGAGCAAATTGTGAAGCGAATCATGCAAGCTAAACTTAAAAAAAAATTGTAACGCCTCTACAATGATGAAATAAAACTTGTGAAAATGCAACACAGTGTGTGTCTCCGGTTCATGTGTATTTGTGTCGTTATCGAGAGCACATCATGTCAGGTGATACTTTTTACTTGACGTTACCCAGTAACGATGGGAGTCTGAAATATTTTCCAGACAACAAAAACAATTCTTGAAAAAATCGATTAGACAAACGCATCGATTTAGAAGGAGAGTGGGAAGTGGGATTGAGTAGTATTTCGCTTCCACACGATTCTAAGGTGTCCAGTTACCTCAAAGGATTAAAAGACGATGTCTTGCTAACCACAGGACGAATTAAAGTAGCCACTGGGGATACACAACATAAAGTGACTTACAATGTCACGTATGGAGACATCAAACAACATCGTATCGAGACAGTTCACGATTTACTCAAATCCTTGTTTAATGAAGAACGTTTAAAATGTATTATGAATATGGGCTCGGCGTTTGGGAGTCATTTTCTTCAGGACACAACGCACAATTTGAAGTGATTGCGGATGAAGATAAAGAAACGATTACTGTGACAGCAGACAAGGTAAAATCGACTGATATAACTCATCAAGAAGTTCGTGACGGTCTCTATTTTGAGTTACCTCGAGACATGTGTGAGTTGTTTGGTTGGACGAAAAAAACAACAGTGCGTTATCGTCGTATTGTTAGTGGTCCTATTGAAGAGAATTGTAATGTATCACGACCGGCGCATAATCTCACAGTGACCAAACGTGGTATGGTGTGGAGTTATGATAGGAGGCTTACTACATCCAGTTTGGCGTATTACAGATATGAGATCCCATGGAAAGACCGATTTGCGGAGAAATATCATAGATTTCTTCTTAGCGATCTGATCTGGACCTTTATCAATACTAAGAGAAGTACCTACTTAAATTTACCTTACCCACGAACCTTGTATATGTATTCCTCGCTTTGTGCTCCAGTACGCGTGGGAGATCAGACGACTGATCTTATACGTCAAATACACTACCAACCAATCTTGGAAGGAAATTATTATTACGAACCCAAGCAGATTCATTACATCAAGTTACGTAAGAATCACATCGATGTGGTGGAAACACAGATGAGTGAGTCGGAAAATAATAATTTGGCTCAGTTTACAGACGGCGCTTCTATAGTCACATTGCATTTTAGAGGAGTGAGATAACATGTTTAACCAAAAAGAGGCAGCCAGAGGCTGTCTGTCTGAAGCCACCGCTGCCAAAAACCGAAGCCCAGGAAAAGAAGAGAAAGAAACGCAAACGGATCATACATGGGAAGATAAAAAAGAACTCCAATTAAAAGAAATGATACGTAACGTGGAGGAAAGAACTTATTTTTCAAAGAAATGGCTTGATAATATTGAACAACATAGAAAACGTTCAGTGTAGTGTTTTTTGTTAAGTTGTAGACACTAAAGATGCCGCGAGTGTATTCATGTCGATGCCGCAAATATAAATTATGCATGATTTCTCAAGAAAAACAAATCGAAGAAACATGAAGGGATTATTATGAAAAGTTACGAAAAGTAGTACGCCTCACCGAAATGGAAGTGGTCACCCAAGGGATTCAAGAATTAACCGTTTACTTTAAGAATTAACAAACACGTCATGAAAACTTTTTTAAAACTTTGTTTTATTTAAAAAATAATTAAAAAAATGTTCGCTTTGAGTGTCAATGTTTTTTTTTTTTGTTTTGTTTTGTTTTGTTTTGTTTTGTTTTGTTTTTTATAAAAGCAACAAGTCCATGTTCTCCAAATCTTGTGCATCCAGTCGCGAATATCCGTAAGGATAAGACTTAAAACCGTACGAATGATCTAAAACTCGCTTGTCGAACACGAGTTGATACGACTTGGTCTGAGTCTCAGTCTTGATTTTTTTCAAAGTGGGGTTTCTGACAAAGTGGGTCGGGTTGACTACCAGCGTTTTTCTTTGTTCATCTAACGGGTGAAGAACCTCATCCAAAATATTTTGGCGGATGATGTCGTAATTTAGCTGTTT